CCGATGGTTGCTGAGCGACTTGTTGGCCATGAAGCTTTTCCCGCAGTCAGGGCACGGATAGGGTCTCTCCCCGGTGTGTATTCGCCTGTGGATGATGAGGGTCGAGTTTGAAGTGAGTTTTTTCCCACAGTCTGGACATGTGAAGATGGCGCCCTCCGTGTGGCTCTTACGATGCTTATTGAGGGACTTTTTAGCCATGAAGTTTTTCCCACAGTCAGGGCAATTATAGGGCCTCTCCCCTGTATGTATTCGCCGGTGGACAATAAGAGCTGAATTGGAAGTGAGTTTTTTCCCGCACTCAGAGCACTGGTAGGCCCCGTTCTCCAGGTGGACCTTGCAATGCTTTTTGAGAGACTTGGTGGACGCGAAGCTTTTCTCACAACTGAGGCATTTGTAGGGTTTCTCGTGAGAGTGGGTTTTCTGATGGTTCTTAAGGGTGGAGTCGCACGTGAAACTTTTCCCGCACTTAGAGCACGTGAAGGGTTTCTCCCCCAGATGGACCCTCTGGTGCCGATTGAGGGACGAGCCACGGCTGAAGCTTTTCCCACACTTGTGGCACGCATGTTTGTGCTGCCCCAGGTGTATTCTTGACTCGCTCTTGAAACCGTGTTTTTTCCCATTGTGACTGGAAGAAGCCGATCTCCTCCCCGAGTGGCTTTTCTGTTGGTGGTTCTCGCCGGCCAGGGAGATGCCTCCTCTGGATTTCCTCGAGGCCACGCCGTGCAGCTCTGCTCGATCTTCATCTTCTTGCTGGGAACTTTCGTCATCCGTGTCACTTTCTGACCCATCACCTGCTGGGACAGAGGGGGAAGAACCATCCCTGAGTCACTCCCTGCACAGGGGGAACCACAGAAAAGAGGCTGGAGGAAGCAGAAACAAAGAAAAAATGGGCAGATGGGAACAAAGGGATAAATCCCACAAGTTTTTCCCCTACAGAAAAAGAAAAAAGGAAAATATTTGGCCTCTACCCCAGCCTGAATATGCACGGAAAGAAGCTAGAGTAAAGACGGAGAGAAGCATCACAAAAAGGGCGGTGATTTCACGCCACATCATATATAGCTGGAAAAGCCATAGCAAGCAGACTACCTCTTCCAGGAGGTACCAAAACTTGGTATTTTGGGCTGCCAGTGCTTAATGGGTTCCTGTGGCTTTCTACTCCTGCACCCTCCTTCCCAGTTACACATATTTCCAGTATGGGGCCTGGGCTCCTGCTTGCTGGAGGTGAGGAGCGATGCCTGTCACGGGGCTATGCCCCTGCAGGTATTTTGGGGTTGGGGTCGAAGCTAATTCCCTTACCTGAGTGAGAGGAATTGGAGCCGGAGGAACTCCCTGGGTCTCGATAAGTTTTCCACCGTTTTCTTTTCCTTGCCCACAGTCTCAGAAGGGGTCTCGCTGGTTCCTCATCCTCAGAGCTCTGGATGTCTGGGATCCAGGCCTCTTCCCCTTGTTCCAGCCGAGCAAGCAGGTCGGGGTTATACACCGGGAAGCCTGCTCAGGTAGACAGCGGTGGATTACCGGGTAGATTACAGACGCATGTGATGTCTCGTTACGGGAAAGGTAGCTGTGACCTTAAAATTCAGACCTCTTCCAAACAGAAAAAAATCCAGATGCTCAGGACTCTCTGAGGAGGGAAGAATTCGGTCCCAGCAGGGTTTGCTGAGAATATCTACAACTGGACACTCATTACTCAAGAGATTTCCAGGTGATGCAAAAGGCAGCTGCACATCCCAGGAAAAAGAAGCTTGAACCAGAGAGGAACTAGCCCCAAAGCCACTTTTCAAGAACACAGAAAAGCCCAATGACAGCGAGAGCAGATGAGAAACGCAGAGGCTGTCCATCTGAAAGGTTCAGGGAGTATCGAGCAGGAGGAAAAGGAAGGCTGGAAAAACAGAGAAATAAAAGTGGGCTGTGACACAGGCCTGCCAACTGCATAGCTTGGATACATCTGACACAAGTGACCAACTCCCTTATTTTCCTTTGAGATAAATCCGTCTTTGCAAGGAGCAGCGTGCACAGGCTGCACTCACAGGTGAAGGGGCTGTACACCACTATATCAGAGGCTTTAGGCAGCTGAATATCTGCTCCAAGAGCAGGATGTTGCAGAAGGGCTACGGGCACACGAACGAAGAAACAGTGCTCAAGGCACAGAGCGAGGGTGAACTGCACTGTGCAAAGCCCAGCAAGCTGGGCATTTGAGAGTGTGACTCTTTATCCCATCATCCACTGTTAGACCCTCCAGATGTTCCCTAGAGGCTTCCCTGCTTCCATCCATGGAAAGGAACCAAGAAGCATCCAGCAAGATCAGGACTGTGCCTGTCATTACTCAGTTACTGCATGCTAGCACCCTAAATCTGAGGCTGGAGTCAAGTTCCCGTCATGCCCACTCCCCTCCTGGATCTGCCACTCATTTATCCCGGTTGGAGGAGCCTGGAGCCTTCTCCATCCCAGAGACCATCCCAGGGTGGGTGAGCAGGCAGGACCTGTCAGGAGAGGGCACTGCAAGTCCAGAGCTCCTGGGCTTAAGGAGAGCCCAAGGCTCAGGGACCCCAGTTGCCCAGCAGCACATCCCTACTGCTAGGGGACACCCACAGCTATGCGTTAACTCAATTAAATGCAGAGTGGTTTTTTTGCTCATCGTGCTCTGCTGCAAGCCACATCGAGGTGGGAGAAGGAAATCCACCTGCCCAGGGTGGGATGCTCAGAGCATGCACAGCTGCTATACAGATGTCTAACACATACACTAGGCAAAAACCCATGAACGCTGCTCGTATCCCATCAAGATTGTGGAGGAGGAGGGAGACAGAACTGCAGTTAGGGCTTAGCCTCTTAAACTCTAAGCTCTCAGCCAAATAGAAATTTGGAGACTATTTCTTGCTTTATATTAATAAAAAAAAACATAGTTACTGAAGCAAACATCATGCACAGAGCGATCCAGGGAAGCTCCACAAGCTGTGCCTGTCCCAGCAGAGCAGAACGGAAACCCAACCCCACCGCAGGCTGCTTCCACCTTCCTTCCAGGGATCACAGCAGTCTCCTGGATCAGACTGGTCCCCTTCAGTCCCTAGCTTGCTGTCTGCACACATCATCTTACTTCCATGCTGAGGACATTTATCCCAGGAATGTGCATGTTAAGGATGGAAGAGCAAACACAGTAAAGCAATTACTGCAGGGATCCCAAACCTGGCGAAATCTGGAAGCCCCACAGTGAAAGGGCTCTCCAAAACAGATCCGCTCCCTGTGAAATTGAAAATGAGAGTGCAAAAGGCATCATTTCTTTCAGAGGCATCCTTGTCACTTGAAACTAGGACGGAAAGGCTTATTGAGGAACGCACCCTGGGAACATCAGCACCAGAAGGAGGGAGGGAAGCAGGTCTGGATTTTGCCCCCAGAAAAATGAGCCTTTTCTGCAGTGGCTGGGGAGAGGCGGAAGATGCCCCAAGCATGGCAGAGCCCTTCCCTACCTGCAAGCGCAGCCGGGTGGTTTCTCTGCCCAGGGTCCGAGAGAGCCCAGTGCGCACCAGTGGTGAGAACGGTCACCTCTTCCAAAGCCTCGGGCACCTGGAAAACAAAAATCAAATAAGAAATAAAAACTCAAGGCTGTGCCCCGAGAGCTGCAGCTCAGGCTGGGACAGGGCTTGGGTCCCCCCGGCCGAGCAGTCCCTACCTGGGCAGGCTCCGCCG